GTGGAGACACTAGTAGGTCATGCTTTCAACATACACACAAACGGCCGCGCCGCCCGCCCGCCCGTCTGTCCGCCTGCTAAAACAGCAATGTCCTAACCTAGAGAATAATACCGAGTTTTATTGTCCACGATCTCGCGATATATGCTAATTAAATTATTTCTACATAAACGAAAATCAACAAAAGATAATGTCCAACTACTACATTACTGACAATAATTACATGTAAATGATTATTGACTTGTACAACGGGCTAGGTAGGTACTTGTTCAAAATCTAGAACGCGAATAATTCACGCTCGTAACGATTAAGTTATTTTTCATGACGTGAAAAAGATTATCTTTGTATATAGCTGCATAAACGCACAAACACACGAGTTACCAATACAGATATACATACACATGTACATGGTGTCCAGTTATCTATCTGCCTCAACTCAACACCATTCGACAGATAATTAAAATTCGAATCGAAAAGTCCTTTGTCATTTTTCGATACGACTTATACTTTTTACACAATTTGAATTGGAAGATTAGGTCGTCCGACCAATCAGCGCGCCGAGTTAGTAGGCCGACGGTCGCACAGTATACTCACGTAGTGCTGTCGCCTAGGCCAAGAGAGTAAGATGTGCGGCGGATAGGCCAGTGAGTATGTTGTGCGGCCGCCGGCCTACTCACACCACGCGCTGATTGGTCCGACGATCTAATTTTCTAATTCAAATAGCATAAAAACTATATGTCGTATCAAAAAACGACAAAGGACTTTTCGACTTGAATTAACATTCCCCGTGGCACGGTCTAGGAACTACCCTCTTATAACATAACGTAACATTGCATAGTTACAATTACTCAAGCGGTAAATTTTGCAAAAGACTGTGTATTGTATATCGTTGATACGGTGAATGATTGGTGCGTTTGTCGGCGGACCTTCGCAGTTTTTCATTTGGCCTGTCGAGGACGACAATGCGATCGGAATTCTGTAACATGCGACGGCAGGTCGGGGGTCACTCGAAGATGTCACGCTCATCACGCGCGTCATATTATCGGCGACATGCCCAGTTCTTTATGTCATCGAATGGAAACATTGAGATTGTGGACAACAGCAAAAAAGAACCTTCATATTTATTTAAAGACGAACTATGCTTGCATCAGGAAAATAGAAAATCAAATAGAACTACGTGAAGGTCATTCATATATTTTTGATCATTTTGGATCCCCCCCTGCCACAGAATAAGATGATACAACCTTAAAGCTTATACGAAACATATTGAATTTTTCTGTAAGTATCAATTCGGTAATTTTACTCATTCTTCTGTTGAAATGTCTGTCCTTCCTACCAAAACAGATGTACCTACGCATCTAGTAGTTATTAACAAGTTGCTAAATAAGTTCACGAGATCTGTACAGATAAGTGTATCTTTATAGATGTGTGCATTGCTATGTCGGCATCACAGAGATGAACAGGACAGGTTTGTCATTCAGATCAGAACGTAGGTACGTTTTGCGATCCTTATCGTGAAGTCTTCTCGGTACAAGAGTCTAGATTCTGTGCAACAATTTTTATACGTTGATACGACCTATGCAAGTACCTACATAGTTTCTTAAAACGGACGTACTTTTTTAAAGTTCAAGGTATAAGGGAATACTCACAGTTAAGCTCATCACAATGTTATATTACTGAAGCCACTAATTCGAAGTATCTTATTGGCAAAACAAATAGACCTATGCAAAGAAAAAGGGGTGACAGGATGGAATATGAGCACTATTGGTAATCCATGATCGGAGAAGCACGAAACACCGGGACCCAGGGCTTCATAATTTAAACGCTTAAGAGTCAAAAGGACCCAACCCCAACATCAGAAGAGCAAGATTCAAATGATATAAGGAAACTAACAAAAAGTTCGCACTTGGGTCCTTCAGCGCTTTACTACACCACTGATAAGGGAGAAACTATTACATACCATTTTAAATCATAACTCAACCTTTTGGGTATTTCATTTCCATCTGCTACTAATGCAGGTAAGCGGGCCGTCAGTCCAGACTACGCCGGAGGGTAAGGCGGAAAACCCTCTTCAGACCTCCTTCTGGTTGTGGTGAGAAAGATGATACGGACGAAATGAAGACAGAAAGGAGTGAAAGGTCTGTCGAATATTACTATTGCCCCTGCCTAAGCGAACCAAGCAAAGCACAGGAAAAATTGGACCAGATCAGGCGGACCCGGAATCGAACTCGTGTCCTCCCGAGCGCTAAGCAACGGTCTAAACCTCTAGTCCACGCCACTCGGTATCTCTTTAAATTAAATTTGAACGAGTTTGTTCTTTTGTTGGCGAAAAAAAAGAAATGACAAAGCATCACGTTCGTGCAGGTTTGTATGCGTGCCGTAAATTAACCATGGTTTCCGTGCAGACAAGTAATGTCCCTATTTAACATAAAGAAAAACGGCCCTTCCTGAAGTAACGCGAGGCATGGCGCGACGTATATGTTTGAACCAGTACGGCGCAGTACAATACAGTACAGTACAGTACAGGGCAGGACAGCACAGGACAGGACAGGGGACTGACTATACGTACGTACATCGTCAGTTCCTGTGAGATGGAGACCGTCGCCATTGAGAGGAATCGCGCAGTGTGAAGCCGTTTCCGGTACTAGACAGGTGAACTTCCTCCCCCGTTACTAATCTCTACTGCTCCTGCCGCCGTTGTCCGTTGCATGCTTATTTTGCTGTCACTTACAAAAGGCACACCATTACACTTTCAAAAAATCACTCCACAACGTATTATATGTTCATATAACAACGCACACAAATACGTACAAGTACCTAACACACGAGAGAACAATGGGCCGCGTTATGACCATGGGACGGTGCTGTGTTGATCTTCTTTTTATTATGAATTATAACCGCACCGCACTGTCCACTACCTCCACGATATACCAGGGGGCTTCAAATAGTAGTGACGCCAACAAACCTAACCTCTCACTCGAGTTGTAATTCTAACCTAACCTAACCTAACCTAACCTGGCCTTGATACTTCCAAGCAGAATTAAAGCGGGACGATAAAATAAGAGAAATAGTCTCTGTAACTACAAGAAAAGATTATAAGAAAATAAGATTAGATAAACTAAGGCTATTGATAGCTTTTTAACTTAAAAAGCTAAATGACTGAGTGAAATGAGAAATTCTGCATAAAATCCTCAAGGATCCTTAGAAGGGATAAAAACGCAATGTTAAAGAAATATTATTCACAAGCCTAGCCTTTCAAATCATAAACTTAAATTCTAATTCTAACCTAACCTAATCTTCATATTTCGAGAGAGAATTAATAGCAAATAATGTTAGGGATAATTGGATATACTGGAAAAAAATAGATTTAGCAATAACTTCCTACGGTAAAAGTTGAAATTAAAATTAAATAAACCATGCTTTTGCGAAGACGCTGTATATAATTATTAACAATTGTTGAGAACACATACCGATATCTGAAATATCGAAAATGTACCCAATATTTTCACAAAAACTCTCTATATAGGTATTATAAATGGATGGAAAATGCATCTACTATTATTTTGTAAGAATAATCTTCTATCAAGTCAGAAACGACACACTGTGTATTTAGAAACGGAAATGGCTGTTCCATAAAAAGATATGAATGAGGAAAATTAAAATAATGGACAATTTTTTAATCGTATTCGGTTGGTCAGTGAGCGTAACGTCGTCCTGTGGCCGAAACAAACGACCCAACTTATGCATTATGTATCATTTGCATGACCGTTCGTATGGCCCGAGTGTTTTCATTTTTTAATTTCTCATCGCAATCAAATTTAAAATTTGTCTGTTCGGTTTGCACAAACGGGACTATAACTGCAGTAGGTAGTGGCTACTACACCGAATGGTTCCCTGTTGCATTATGCAACAGGCTACAAAAACCCTTTCCCATGAAAAATTACCACGTCAGGTTAATTACTTATTACATTCTACTGCAAATACTTTTCGTCGAATAATACAATAATTTTTGGGTACTGCATTAATGGCACTTAACTGACCCGAAAAAAAGGTAACATTTTATTTTATATAGATATTAAAAATTAAAATTATTGAAATACTTAGCGTTAATTTAATGTATTAGAACCAGTACTGGTGCGTAAAAGCAGGAGCTCAAGTTCGATTTCCGGCAAGGGAGTGACAACAGCAACAATTTGAGGTTATCTGTAGCGGGTAAAATTAATTCAAAAAATTAATTGACTAATACATTAAAATTATAAAAAAGCTCTCTATATTGATTGCAGCAACTATAAATGTTGTTTTTTCGTGTAAATTTTTCATATTGGGGCCATTTTGAGCCGTTTTCAAAAAACAAGTTTAACATTCCGAAAAAGCCGGAAGTTTTACCTAAAAGAAATCAAATCTAACCTCACTTATTAGAAAAATAACGAAAGGATAATCAGAAAACATCAAACCGCAGTGGTTTTGTTTTAATTTTAAGTAAGAACGAAACGCTAAGATGATGTTTGTCAAGATTTAAATTAGATATCGGGATTCTACTGTAACATAAGATCTATGTATCGCTAGGAACGCAGGGCAAAAATCACGCAAAGAATTACGGCGGGCAACGAGAAATCCCTTCACGCACGCACGCAAGGTACACCTTCTCGCGGTTCTTAATAGACATTCAGACAATTTATTTATTAGAAGCGCAGAGAGAGAGCGCTAAGGAATTTTTTTGCACAAAAAGGACATGTAATGCGAAGGTAGTCCGAACACGCTCGCTTGATTGTACATAAATAACACAGCCGTGATATGAATTAAGAATATTCTATCAAGATACAAACGGCGTTCAATTAGTTCTCAGGTTCCCGCATCGACAAAATAATGAATAGAATATACCGACATTATCCATATATACATACATATAATAAATGCCTATAAGTATCTCTGTGTTAATCCTATGTTTAAAAAAAGCGTTATTTCTCATATTAATATTGTTTTGTATTAATAAAATCACTCACCGTTTGCCCATGGTGTACTTCTCTGACACTACTTAATAGGAAACTGGATCTGAAAATAAATTTAAACAGAAAAATTTTCAGAAATTCTTAATTGTTAATTTAGTGTCAATGTTTTTGGTAAAATAATTCGATAGGAAATAAATATTTGTAGACTTAGCACTTTTTTTTAGAAATTACCACTCATTAAAACATAAGATATTTCTATAAATTGATAAAATAAATACGAAATGAAGATATTTCAAGTCGAAATATTAAATAAAAAACTCCCCTATTGACAATGACTTAATGCTGTTTTGTGAAACCACCCTCTGCGCCACTGCGTTTTATACATCAAAACGTTATTAAATGATTATGGAAGGAAGGTTTTGAATCAGATTAATCCTTTATTGTTCCACCTACGGTAATACGATTTTTGCGTTGATTCAGTTCTAGCTAAATAACAAATGAGCTTCGCATTTGCACGGTTAAGATTGAGCCGCCGATTGGAAATCTCGCATATGACAGGAATATCTGTCCCTGTCCTATCGCCTTTATAAATACCAACCATTCATAGTTGCATTCTGTCTATTTGTCACTTCTGAACGTGATCTAGATCTTCTTCTACTGATAACAAGCACTAAGCACTTTCGGACTACTAGATGCATCATAGATAAATTGGTACAAGTAATAATCTAACGACCTAATAAAAATTATATGACCGGTCTTCTTTTCCATAGAATACAATGGACACGTTAGTAGTACCTAACAAATGGCTAAAATTACTGCGGTCTCAAGTTTTTTAATTTTATCATTTTCCTATCAAATGTTATAATCACAAGTAAAACTCTCTTTTTTTTGCGGATCTTTTATAAACAAAATAATAAAAATAAAATGACATCGCAAACATCCACCTTCACTCCAGAGGCTTTAACTTAGCTTTTCGGATAAAGGATTTGATATATAAAAAGTTTAAGTTACCTCAAACTTCAAAGTTCTGTTGATTTTAACTTTGACCATTATGAATATACATATTGAATGCATTCATTGGTAATTCTATTCGAAAAAGAAAACTGGTCATTAATACCTAAAAGGTTGGAAATTTTATCGCCTCCAGTTACCAGCCTTTCATATCTTAGCTACATTGTGTTCACGCACTGCATTCTGCTTTAATCCTGCAATAATGAATCATACACACATACATTTCCAATTTAAGCTCAAATGGTGAAAGGCTAATTATTCGAAGACCATTTGATAAAATCTCTGTTTCTAGTTAACACAAAAAAAATAAAAAGAAAATGCGCTAAATCTATTGTGGTAAAAGTAAGATTGCAGTTAATTACCGATGGAAATGCGTACGTAAATGTTTCTTAAAGATCCGTAAATGTATTACATTTATACGAGTGCTATTTAATAATTCAGGAAAATAAAACAAATTTTGGCCCTATTTAAAATTTGGAAATTTTCTGTAACACTAGTGATAATGAAAGAAAAAAATTGGATTTCCAGTTTTAATATTTTCTGATTAACAATAATTAATAACAGGAATATTTCCCTGTATATCACAGAACTCTGATGATCTCAGCATTCCGTGACAGAAAGCATCAAAGTTCTGCTTCCTACAGTCGTTAGCAACCAACCAACTGGCCGAAGCATCGTCAGAAAATAATACGGAAGAACAAGTAAACGTTACTATAGCAATTACAATCTTTTTCTTTCTCGCACTTTTTCTATCCCATATGTCTAAACTGAAATGTGAGTATTAGGTGCATGATCACTTCCACACCAGCTCCGTCTAAAGATGAACATTTAACCACACGGCTACTGTTATCATATAGTAATAATCAAAACAGTTGAACGTCAGCGTCTATTGAACTCGAAGAGAACTAGAGCTATCTAACAAAATAAGGAATAGGGAACTCCAACGACCTCAGCTACAGATGTTAAAGTTTTAATTGTACGGATTCTAACATACAAATTTAACTCGTTCAGCTTTTGTATTTTAAGTACCCAAAAGAAAGGGAACAGTAACCGTTTTATGGATATTTTTAGCTAACATCAGAGTTTGAATAATGGAGACTGTACAGAAGGTGTTAGATGGGATACGTGATCTTCCACATAACCATGTGTGCAGGTATCAACTGGTGAATTTTTGGCTTGATCTCATTTTGTCAAATATTTTCTTGATATATTAATGACATTGTACACAATTGTACCGATGAATTCAGTTCTTCAGTCCAATTGTTCAATATTTTCATGTCATTACGTAAGTGAGATGACTTTTGCCTCCAAACTTCAGGTCTGTTCTTTGGCGTCCAATTAATTGAAGGAGGCATTGCTTTTCGATGGATTCGGTATCATTCGATGTAAGATATGATTAGATACCAATGGGCCCGGAAGTATTTTTTTAATGAAACTTGTTGTTGTTCCATGCAAGTTGTTCTGGAGTTCTATGTGTATTATTAGCTCGTGTTGTTGGTGTCGAGTGAACTGGCAAAAGATAACGAGGCGAGGGATCGACCATTAGCGGGCATTAGCATGTAATTCTGCCACATACCCATCAGATCTGAAGCTACATTCCGTACGTATCGAGGTCATCATTTGACCCAACGAAAGCGTCTCGCTGTTGGACGCGATGGGGGCTCGGCCCAACCGACCCTAAACTGTCCGTACGTCCATCGTCCAAGTCTCCTAACCTCACCTTCCGATCTACATGAAACACGCTATTAGCTAAGGTGGGATATGCCGCCCTTTTTTTACGGTCATCGCGACACGAACAACAAAACTCGTGCTAGATATCATTTCTACCGATTCCATCGTTCAACAAACACTTCGACAAAATTACTTCTAAATGTGAGCCATCGGGAATATGCCAGCTGGAGGCTGCTTCAAGCCCAACAAATAAACGGGAAGATAAAAAAGTCGAGGCATTTGTTATGAACGTATGCCTGAGGCGGTGATCGATACGACGGCACCATTCTACGTTTGATTAGCCAACAGCGGAGAGTCGCACATAAAGGAAGCTTTACAGAAGTAATCAGGAATATTCGATGACTATATGAATAGGTTTTTTTGGCATCCAAGCCAGCAGGGTGTCTATCTCAAAGTGTTAAAATACAACAAAATTCAACGGTGCAGCCACGCCATTCTCGTTCTCTTTATATTTATAGGCCAATAAATATTAAGAAATCTACTTTAATCGATATAGGTAGGTACCTGTAACTTTGTCTTAACATATCTGCATATACTTGTAGTAGAGTGTCTATCCAAGTAGGAATGGTAAATACACCATCATATGTTATTGTTATTATCGTGAAAGCCAAACATGATACTTACGTTGCGGTACCTAAGCCAGATGTTGTTGTGTTCAAGTACAATCATAAAACTGGTTTACGCATGCTCTAGAACTTTATCGTACAACCCATCATATTCAACAGCGCGTTTACAACACCCTGTAGAAATTATCTGTTGTTATAGTAACGACTACGTGTTAATGCATGTGCTTTACATCGTTTCTTTATATGATGGAAACCATGCGAAAACGCGTTGGTCGTACGAGGCATGATACCGAAGCCATTGGTTTAAACACATACCTATATCTCTGAACAAATCGACTCGAACTTGAAAGAAGATTGCAAAAACTTAAAGACATTATCCTTAGGAAATTACTTTCTTTAAATGTATTTTGGACAAACCATCAAGACTGAGTTGTAACTTTGGAATAGTACTTTAATTGTACTATAATGTTGTCTAAGTATTTCACTGGTTTGCAAGGGAAGATAAAGTAAAGAAAGAGCGAATATAAAGATAGGAGACGAAAAATTAGAATAAGTGGCTGATTTTCGGTATCTAGGGTACAGTGGGAAGGAGTAGTAGGGATATGAAGCTGAAGATATCGCAGGGTCGAGTCGCCTTCAAAAAAAGGAAGTCATTTCTATGCTCGCGAATGGTCAATTTAGAAATTCGAAAAAGTTAAGCAAAGGAAAAGAAAAGGTTAGAAGCGTTCTAAATATGGTGTTACAGGCGAATGATAAGGATACCGTGGATAGAGAAGGTTAGAAATGAAGAGGTATTAGAAAGAATAGCAGTTACATTGGTAGGACAACATCTCAAACATGAAGAACTAGTTAGAGATATATTGGAAGCAGAAACAAGAGTCAAGAGGGGAAAAGGTAGACCTAGAGAAGAAGACGACGTCGACTTACGCTGTGAACACATTCTGTTAATCTGGTTGCCTAACTTAAGGAGATTCGACGTGGTCAACGAGAATCTTTTCGTATGATCCCTGTATTCCGGTTAGTGTTGGTTCGTTCAGTTGCAACATGATACCAGACTGCACACATACCTCACGTCTCGTCTGTCTGTACGTCTGTGTATGTGTGCAACTAAGTAAGTATAATACATATTGTGGAGTAATGGTTATTGCGGACGCGATTAAATCCTGGATTAATATCAGCGATCTAGGCTCGTAAGTTGTGCGTTATATCGCAAAGCGGCACGCCACGCCGATCGGCCTGTTCGCCTAACTAATAATTATAAATAAAACTTGTCAGCCAATTTATGTTTATTATAATTTTCCGAACAGGAACACCAACTAATTACGACCGATTCCTTAATCTGACCCAATCGAAATTTTAGCGGTATATATCACTTAAACGTAACTTCAAAGCCACTCATCGTTAGCGTGACTTTTCTACACGAAAAACTCTTTTAAGATTATAATGTCATACAATGTGCCTTGCAATTTTAATTTTACACGAAATTTATGGTTTACATTGAACGATAAGGGTTTAAGGGTAAAATTTCTGCCAATGGTCTATTTCATATGTCAATTGACCAATGTTTTCATAACGAACATTATAAGGGCACGCTTGAGCTGTTGGCGCAGACGCAGCAATGCATCTAACCTAGCAAATTTGACAGTTACATATCGCAATTCTAAAAACATTGGTTTCTCTTACTCTCTCCACTACAAAAATTGACGCCAAAAATAATCATTATAAGTAGGTACCTTTGCATGATTTATCTTATTTTATCTTGATTAACTTGCATTCTTCGTTAATCCCATCAGGTACTGTTATAAATAAAAAGTGGCTTCAGCTAATGAAATTACGGAGGAATGTCACTCAAAGCAGTTACATACCTGAAGATTGTGATGCGACAATTACTTGCTATAACAAGAGGATTCCCACGGTTGCGTATCAACGATCGAAAAAAAGAGATATGTGTGTATGAGTTATGGATTAAAACCGTAGCTAATAATAATCCCTTCAAAACTATTTACACTTGTTTAATTAAATCGAGTAATGAGATGGATTCTTCGGCTCGAATATCAATCGGAGACCAACAAAGCACACCTGCAGCGTAAGCGTCGCAATTTTTGCAAATTCTCAAAATGCCGGTAGTTAATATAGTCTTTAGGAGCAGCTTTTCTTATTAATTTTCTAGTCGTTCGTGCATTCCGGCCATTTCGCAAACGACCGATCGCGACCGCGGTATCCCGGCGAGGATCTGGTAGAAAATATTATACCCGTGCTTTAGCCTTTCAATATGTCTTGTCCGATACAGTCGGAAATGACTAAGCTCCTTCCACGGTCAAAGGTGATAATCTGCAAATTTGTAGCTGCTTTACGTGAAATTACACGCAACAACCTATCGAAAACCGTGAACCAATAAAATTACTTCCTATTCGTCGATGTACAGCAACCAGTAGAACCACGAATAATTCTAACGTCAGTAACTCATAAGATGAAAATACTACAAATGGCGCAGTAAACGCCATCTGTAGTACGATGCTACATTTTAAGATTACGTATGCTCCAACATGGTCCACTTGCGTGGATATCTACTTGCTGAAAACGAATCCCGGCGTGGCCAACCTAAACGTAAAAGGCACGTTAGCTTAATCGAATAAAATAATTCGAAGTAGTCTGTATTCTGTCGAAACTGCCAGACGCGGATCGCGATTTCGATCTTTTTGGATCTCATCAGCGCGTCGCAGGCAGCTCCGACAGAACACAGACCAACTTTTACCTGCTGTCTTAACAGTGCGTTTTAGAAAATACTACAAATGGCACAGTAAACGCCATCTGCAGCACGATGGTACATTTTAGGATTACGTATGCTCCAACAAGATCCAAGGATCGAAATCGCGATCCGCGTCTGGCAGTTTCGACAGAATACAGACCACTTCGAATTATTTTATTTAACTCATAAGAAGTTTCCTACTCTTTTATTCCTGTGAAGCCCCTATTAAAATTATGACACGTCAGTCAATTAAACTCAAGAACACTAGAGATATGACAGGAGTAAAAACTGCTTAACTTTTGAAGAGTGTCGTCAGTTCTCTGCGCAGGAAGACAGTGCGCATCCGATTTGATGCATAATTTTGTTTTTAAGTATTGCATGACAGCAATAGCCATCTTCATCCTTGGGCGATGATGTTGAGGCAGTCATCAAATTCATTCGCACATTATTTGACACATCTTTAAGTGAAACATGGGTCTTCAAACTCTCCTTATGTTCAAAATATCTACAACTCCTTTATGTTTCTATGTTGTTGAAATCAACAAATCTGGTTTCATAAGACTACAGAAGGAACAATACTCGTCGTAAAAAGTTTAATTGCACCCAGATGCGAGTAAAAGACGTTTTAATAACGTTTTTTATTGCCTAGATATCCCGAATTTCCTTTACCAACAGTGCTAACAGAGCGGAAAGTAGCAGCTGCCCTTTTGGTAGTATATTGGAAGGAAGTAAGGTCATCCTTGGTTGACCACCCTCTCCTTATCTTTTGCTGTATACCAATTTTTGCTCTCTTAAGTATTAGTCACCCCTTTCTGTCTTGTAACGTATTTTGCGTAGGTACTTATATACCACTTCCTTTTACTACATTCCTATGCATGTACATGTCTAAGTGCCCACGCTACTTTTAAACAATTTAAAACCGATGTAATTTTTTCAAGTTCCGAAAAATCTAAAATACGTAGCAGTTTCAGTCATTTAAAAAACGATTACATCAACGAAATTTACGTAGGACAAACTGATAGATTTTTAATCAAAGGATTTCTGAACATCAAGGAAGCGTCAAGAAAAGCATTACTTTAATAACAACTTCAAAATTTTAAGTGTAGTAAATGAACACCCAAAATTGAATGTATCGGAAGGTATGTATGTTCATAAACAATCGATAATTTGAAACAAATTTGACAGATTCCGGAGAACAACTGACTGCAGGCGTGAGGCTACGTTTTCTGTTTAAATGGAAGGGAGTTTCGAAAAAAAAATTTAATAAGCATTCTATCGCGTATCTCGTGTTATTTATAACTAAACCAATTTCACGTTTCTCGTTCGTTCTTTATTTCATGAAGAGAGCGTTTTATGTAGATTTTCTGATTAATGCCCGGGCAACGCTGTAATGGTGCAAAGTTAATGTGTAAACACCTCTGCGGACAGACGTATACGGGGTCGGAGGTCAACCGTGAGAATTCGTGACGGCCTAAGCAAATTGTTTAACACGGGAGTGATTACAACGGCCGATGCAAACGTGCACTGCGCGCGATGCGTTTCTGCTGCAACTTCTTCTCAAAACGTACAATCTTCAGTGAAATTTCATGGATCGACCACACTACCTCCCTTGAAACAAAACTTAATTCCCAATTTTAATCAGGTGGATGAATTACAACCAATGTTATACCTATCTTCAGGTTATTTCTGTGGAAACCTGTAACCCTCCTACTCAAAGGTCACCTTTAACGTGTGAAGATGCGTGAGCAACCTTCAGACTGACGATGATGATATGAAGAACCCTATTAAACATTTCTGAAACAGTTAAGTTACATACTTCGGTTGTTTACAACATTGAGGTGGAATATTACTGTCCCAGCACTAGCCTGTAGGTGGTGGTTGGAGTGAGAAAGATGAGATAAACGAAATGAAGACAGAAGAGAGAGAAGAAAGGTGTCGTCGTCCGTGGTATATTACTACCCCTGCCTAAGTGAACCAAGCAAAGCATAGAAAATCTTGGACCAAATCAGACGGACCCGGAATCGAACCCGCGTCCTCCCGAATGCTAAGCAACGATGTAAACCTCTAGGCCAAGTCGCTTGATAGATTGTTAATAATCTGTCAGGTGTTTAACTTCTTCGCTCTATTGTAACTATAATGTTACGTAGGTAAGGCACAGCGTCAGCACAGTTGCACCAGTTGCAGTCGCTTTACTTGGTCTTACTCCTATTGCACTCGCTTAATTGAGCAGTACTTAATTATAATCTCAATTAAAAAGTAAGATTTATGCAGATTAGTAGAAAGCATGTTACAACCAACTGTACCTACCTGTATAGTGGACGGACATGTTTCGAACGTGGCTATTTCGTTTCCATGGTATGTCCAATCTGACCAGTAACCTGCAATAATAATTATGCGATGTAGCATACCGTTTCAAGAAAAAAATATTCAAATTTTCATATATCTACGGACCCTTCGATTACCCCAATAAAAAATAAACTGTACAAACACACAGCAGGACTAGAAACAGGAGTTAATGAGGGTCAGAGCCAGACCTGGATTAGATTGGATACTGTTCGCAAATAGAGTACGTCGCTCTAGTTTTCGAGAAATGCAAAGATTGGATCAAGATGAAACAAGTGGACATACGTGTCTGACCGGTCTTATAGTTGAGGACCTTACACTAATAGGGGGACAAATATAGAGGGATGATGGAAGTACCGTTTTAGATAGAAACGATTATTATACTTGAGGATACTGTATGTAGGAGAGAGTAGAACAAAGGGAGCTATGGAAGTCAATAAGGACAAGGAGAAATAGGACGGTAATACTTTCTGAGGCATGAAGGGCTAGTTTAGGTCACATTAAAAACAGAAACAGGAGCAAACAATCGCACCGAGCGGCATGGCCTAGAGGTCTAGACCATTGCTTAGCATTCGGGAGGACGCCGGTTCGATTCCGGGTCCGTCTGCCTTGGTCCAAGTTTTTCTGTGGTTTTCTTGGATCACTTAGGCAAAAGCTGAGGCAGTAATATTCCACAGATAATCTTTCGCTCTCTTCTGTCTTCATTTCGTCCGTCTCGTCTTTCTCACCGGAACCACCAGCCACCTTTTGCCACGATTCCTGAAAGCAGACTAAAGAGAGCCTTCCGCCCTACCTTCCGGCATAGTACGGAGGAACTGCCCGCCCACCGCTGGTGGGAATGAAACACCCAAAAGTTTTTTTTTTCAAACAATCGCAGAGGAAAGCCTGAACTATTGTCATGTATATTACTGTAGATATTTTGAGTTTTATTTAAGTAATAGAAAAACTGTGCCGTCTTCTCTGAACCATTACGGTTTTATTTTAAGAAACGAACTGTAATAAGTGAACACTATTGTCTGTTTTATTTCTTCCTACCTATTTGTCGTAGATGATGATCCAGCCGTACAAATTATTACCGTCATAGCCCAATCATAAGTTCATTTCCTCGTCGCCGGGCTCGAAAAGGAAGTAGAGGGCGAGGCGAGGTGTATTGTAATGTAAGTAAAGTGCCACGGTCGGCCGGTCAACGGTGACCGCGGCTTCCGTCCAAGCACGTGTGCCATCTTACCATGATCTCGCGAAATGATAATTATAACCGCTGCTGCATCGCATCTATAGATAGTCGTCATATCGTCAACGTCATCGGACCGGCTTATTATTCATACAACCAAAACAATTGAATGGTAGGAAGAAGCAAAAAACAAAAATTAGATCGAGAAACATCACCAAAACTGCCTCTGATGGGGTTATTGCATAGAGATTTTCCAACTCTGACAGACTCGTCATGGAATTTCAATTAATTTTTCAGTCAAGTACGTAATATAAGTCCAATAAAACTTTCAAAGGTGTTGCTCTTTGTTCAAAAGATTTTGAGACTTCAGATAGTTTAGGGTATTGAGTGGACTTTACTGTTGCTTTATTATTTATTTAGATATATGAAAAAATTGCCCATCTTGAGTATCTAGGAAGTCAGATAACTCAGGGTGGAAGGAGTAATAGAGATACAAAACACAGAATAGCACATAATCGAGGCGCCTTTATTAAAAAAAGTCACTTCTATGCCCGCGAACGGCTAATTTAGAAATGAGGAAGTATACAAAGAGAAGAACAGAAGTCACTGTGGAAGTCAGTAAGAAATAGGCTGATAGGACACCTTCTCAGACAAAAAGAGCTAGTTAGAGATATATTGGAAGCAGAAGAAGGAGTTAAGAGGAGTAGAGGTAGACCTAGATTAGATACACAAATAATTCAACTTCTGAGATGTTCCACTTTTAGGGAAAAGCGAAGATTAGTTCAGGAAAGGAGAAAGTGGAGATGCGTGTCCAACCAGTCTTAGGACTGATGAACTCATGATGGGGATGATGAAGATATGATGCCAGCTTCTAATGATTACATGTAGTAGAATATTCTTATTTCGGTTCTTAATTCGCCTGCACTATATACTTTCAAGTTCCAACATGTTTACAATGTCATATTCAACCCCCATATACCTCCTGCCTTTTGCAGTTGAAATTGATTGTTGATTCATTATTTACGAAGAGAAATAGCCACTTCAGAATGCATTTATAACAAATATAAAAGTTTCCTCTTGCTCTTGTAATTATTACCTACTATTAATTTCAATCTGGTAGCGTTTCCAATAAGAAATATATCATCACTGGCGACAGTCATTCAGTACCGTAGTTAAATAATTGGCATCGGCGTAACGTTAAATAATTTGAAAGATTCTCTCTATGAGAAAATTAATGTCGTCTAATTAAAATGGACATGTGTAAAGAATGCTACCGTACGTTTTAATAAAAGGATTAAAATCGAATGTGAAGCCGCGAGATTTTATAAAGCCGGGAACGCAGCATGCTCTTGATTAATATAATCTATATCAGTTCGCTGGATTATGTCTTTTGCTTAATATATTAGCGCTCTTTGGTGAATAATAGTCCTGAAGAATGTCACCATGGAAGTTATATAATTAGATATACCTAGTTGTCGTCTACTCGTTAATAATTTAAATATTAACTCTTTAAACATCAATTCTACAGCTTACGAAGCTTGAAAATTACCAAAATCCTTGTTGGAGCATACGTAATCCTAAAATGTAGCATCGTACTACAGATGGCGTTTACCGCGCCATTCGTGGTATTTTCTAAAACGCGCTGTTAAGACAGCAGGTAAAAGTTGGTCTGTCTTCTGTCGGAGCTGCCTGCGACGTGCTGATGAGATACACAAAGATCGAAATCGCAATCCACGTCTGGCAGTTTCGACAGAATACAGACCACTTCGAATTATTTTATACCAAAACAAATATAACTAATTACTGTTAACTTTTTTGAGTGATATTCAATTTTTGTTCATTTTCAAGACCTCAAATCTTCAGTTATTTTTACGTTAACAATTCTCATTTGCGAGGAAAATTTTTCTACTACGTCAATTTTTCCAATAAAACAAATTAAAATCGTTGACACGCCCCAATTAAATTAACGGTAACTGTAAATATTTAACAACCCCTGTGAACTTGTCTCCCGCTCGTATTCCCAGACAAAGGAATAAATTTGTCTCGCCTCTTGAGTCCGACAGGTGGTTTGAAGGACTGTTAAAAAATTTAAGGATATCCTGAAGAATTATTATTACAGTACACACAGTACCTACTCATTCGATTAATTAATTTTTTTGTTATTCATATTTTACATTTGAACTCAATGTTACGATTAGATATTGTTGGTGTGTGTGGCAAGTCATAAATTTCGTTATGTTTGTGCAAGTCGATCGACGATCCTTAAGGGTGATTTTCTTCGCAGGATTGTCAATGTTTATAAGTAAGTTTAGCCGCACCGTTCGTTGGTTCGTTCGTTTGTTTGTAAGAAGGCCGCGCAATCGTAAAGAAGGCGACCGAGTCGGAGCAGTCGATAAAATCGATCGAATCGATTCGCATCGATCCGTATTAACCATATTGTGTGTGTGGCGACCGATCACCGACCATGTATGTAAATCAGAATCGACACCTAGAAGGCCCGCTATCTTATCTCCAACAATTATTTGATGTTTACTGCCTCCGAGGGACATTTGTTACCGTTTTTACCCGCAAATGGCAACCAACTCGACCGATTATTTCGACTAGATATCTAGATCTATCTCTACACTATTCAGGTGTTTACAAAACGCATACATTTTCGCATTATTCTGTAAAACTTTTTTATTATTATTGTTTACTGTTCATTGTGCTTACCAGCCGAAAAGATACCATTTTCCTTCACCGTTCATGCATTCCTTCGTCACAAATACATAAAACAATGATCTAAAAACCGAATCAATGATAAGGCGCGTTGGAAGAATAGCATTTTATATTGTACCTACAATACAGTACCTAAAAATACTGACTTGAGTAGGTACTGCCTTTTTAATATTGTTTTTAATGAGAGAATTGTTCTTGTAAATTTACGTCTGCTAAGTAAGAACAAAGATCAAAATCAAAAAAAGACAAAAATCAAATGCTAATTAAGTGCACTAATGATAAATTAAATGCTACATGCATTTTTTCAAAAGTTATAGTTCTGTTAACTTAAGATGAGTGAGCGCAGCACCATTTGAACAATGAAAACAGCTTTTTGGTCACATAGTAATTAAATGCTAATTAAGTGTACTATTGATAAATGCTCCCGCCATTTCTTCAAAAGTTACAGTTCTGTTAGCCTAAGATGAATGAGCGCAGCACCATTTAAACAATGAAAACAGCTTTTTGGTCACATAGTAATTAAAAGCTCATTAAATGATAATTAAGTGCACTAAAGATAAATATTCCTGGCATTTTTTTAAAAGTTATAGTTCTGCTAAGTTTAAGTGAGCGCAGCACTGTTTGAACAATGAAAACAGCTTTTTGGTCACGTAGTAATTAAATGCTCATTAAATGCTTTCGATATAGACCAGCTATGAATAAAATTCTTCCTGTAACAAACGAACTACTTTGCGACATTGGCAGTTGTCATAACCTGGGGCATTACTTATTAGGACAGAAAATTATGCTATAATGAAGTCATTTATTTACTGGAAAAATAATATGAGCATTTAATTCACAATCGGTCAGTTGCCAAAGCATTTAATGGGCATTTAATTACTGTGCGCGCATGTTCTGTTCACTTAATCTTAAACTAACAGAACAGTCATTTTCGAACAAAAATGTCAAGAGCATTTAATTCCTAATTAGGACACTTAATTGCATTTAATTAACATTTAAATGCTGACTTTGTTCTTCTATTTAACGGATGTTGGAAAAATCGAACCTAAAACATGTATCAATCTCAAGTGCCCAGGGCAATTATAATATAATCAAAATGAGAATCTATCAGAAGTATTCAAGAATGCAAACGTAAGAAAAAAGGCG